TCAAGATAAAATTTATTATATAAATTTACCACAGTAAAAGATTTGCAATGATGATAATAATAAGATGGAGCAATTGTAACAATATACTGCAATAATAGTCATGTGAATATGCTCTCTTTCTCAAAATATCTTATTGCACTCACCCTTTTTGTAATATTATAAGATAAGACAATGCCTATATGATGAGAGAAAGTAAGGTGAATGCCATAGGAATCACGATGGAGGCCACTACATAAGGGTTAGTAGAACACCAGCAATCAAAATGCTGTGAGAGTCTACCAGACAACTGAGATGGCTACTGAGTGACATATGGGTGGATAGTGCATACGACAATGGTACTCTGCACAAAAGGATGAATGTCACCCCACATGGGATGAAGTGGCATGACACAAGATTTTAATTAATATGCTTCTCAGAATGGTATGTAGTTTAAAACTGATAAATAATTTTTTCTGGAATTTCTATTCAATAGTATCAGACCAGAGCTCAACAGGAAAAACAAAAATCATGGAAAACAAAAACCACAAAGAAATGTGGGAATACTGTATTGTATTTGGGTATCCTTTCAGTGTTTAGGTGGGAACTTTCATCTAACCAGCTCTTTGAAACCTTCTTAAAAATTACATTGAACTACAAAGTAGTAATTTTTATAATGTATATTTCATTATGCATATAATACTTTAGATAGATATCAAAAGGATAAAACATTTTTTCCAACCCCACTATTTTTGCTGTAACAGAAATACAAAAAAATTATAACCCTTAAAGTCTGTTACATTTTTGTCATTTTCAATTTAATAACAACACATTTCCTCTAATGTAATGCTCTACTTTACTGTAAGCCCAGCAAATACTACATTTTATCACTACTCAACATAAATTATCCAATTTAATTCAGGCAAAAAGCCTCAACCAAAGGATATTATTAGCCCAGTTTTATGAATGCAAAAAAAGAGAAGTCTCAAAAAATTCAATATTTAAATTGATTACACAGAGATCATTCATTTATTAAAGTATTAATGAACTTATACTGTGTTTCAGGCAAGATGTTTAGGAATTAGTGATCTAAAAATGAACATCAGGAAAAAAGAAATGAATTTAGGATTTTTTTTTCTTTTTGGAGTCACTTTTTGAGACAGATTTTCAATATGCTGCCTAGGATAATCTAAAACTCTTGGGCTCAATCATTCTTCCTTCCCCAGCCTCCCAAGTAGCTGGGATTACAAGAACATACCACTGCACCCAGCTTGAATTTAGGAATTTAATAGTAGTTCAATCTGATGGCAAATTGTATGATTCCCCCATCATGCTATATTCCTAAAAGTCTAACAGCATTCATCTCAGTTTGTTTATAACACATATTATTTATATCTACTAGTCCAGAATATTTATTAATAGCACTCCATTTTACATTTTGGATTTAAAAAATCTAAATTGAGTATACATATTGACCATTTCTTGTTCACATATTTTTATCTCATTGATATTTCTCATTTATTAAAATTAAAAATTGATTTTTTTATAAAAGTCATTTTACAAATATGTAATATTCATCACTAGAAATATATTTATTGAACATGTACTTCAGAAATTCAGAAATGCACTGAATTATTTTTCACAGAAGTAGAAAAAACAATTGCCAAATTCATATGGAACCACAAAAGACACTGAATAAAAAAGCAATATTGTGCAAAAAGAACAAGCCAAAAGCATCATACTACCTAATGTCACAATCTACTGTTATTTTATACAATTATTTATTTGTTATCTGTTATACCCTTTACCCTTTTTTACTAGATTGGTTTTTACTTGTTATAAGTACTCATGAGATGATATGGAAACTATGAAATATCTATTATATATGCTATATGTGTTACATATATTTGAAATATTTCTTTTTTAAATATTTATTT